GAAATCAAATTAAATGTGTTCGCACTGCAATAAATCGTAAATTGTAACCAAAGAGATTTGACTGTCATGACTGAAATGACACAAAACAGAGCCTCACATTTTATGCAGAGTGTTTTAAACAATAAAGGACTTAACTCAACTGAGCCGAGTAGAGTTAAATCTTTAGATTGGGACGATTAAAGTGATTAGATAATAGCTCAATTTGCTTGCTACCTTATTCATGTTTGCATTGTATCCTGGAAAAAATGTCCCATTAATTTACTGTTAATGACTTGACGATAAGTTTTATTTTTTCCGTATTTTTTGATATTTTCTGGTAAAAATATCAATATTTATATCATTTGATTCGATATATTGGCACATCATTAGCTGGATGATAAAGTGCACAGCATTATGTCTTCAACTCGTTTAGTTCAACACTTTTATCTTTAATGAGGTGAATATGATACAGAATTATCTCTTTTTGCTATCCGTGAATCCTATTAAAATGCCATCATCATTATCATTATCATAATTATTAAAGGTCAATTTGTTAAATACTCGAAGGATTTATTAATTGCTTCTGGTTTTCCTGTTGAACATTTTTCACTTTCCTATTTTACTGTTGCTCATTTTTCATCATTTTTGTGGTTAGACTAATTTCAAGATCATTGACGGGTTGACCAAATTTTTGCGATTTTTTCACTTCTGCACATTTCCAAACGATTTAAGACTGATTTGTCAATTTTGTGTTCATTGACTTTCTATTGTTTGACTTCAACTTTCGAGTTTTCCAAAAATGCTTTTCAGCAAAATTGAATAGCTGGTAGGATTGCTTGGATCAATTGGTTTGGATCATATTAACTCGAAAAATTGACTGTGCAATTGGTCTGGTTAACTGTTTTTGACACATTTTTATCTCTCATCAATTTCTTGTGATAATGCAAATTAAGCCGTTGATGTTCATTAACAAGAAGCCCAGAAAAGGCTGTTATCAGCTTTTGGTAATCTCCAAGAATCTTTCAGGATTTAAAAGTTGAAAATAAACTTTGCTTATTCATCATGAACAGTTATGATTGTCCGTATTCAATTTTTCAACTTTCTATAACTTGATATCTCATTAACTAAAAATTTGCCCGGCAAAATCAATCAACTCAAATCAATCCATTTAGACTGACATATTTATCCATATCGATCAATGTGAAACGATTGAAATGAACGCGGTGAAAATTTACTTTCTTATTATTCGAATCCTTATGGAAAAGTTCATCATTTCGGATAAATCGATTTTATTTGGATCGATTTCTGCAAGCTGATTGTGACGATGGAGCCACAAATTTTCGCTAAAATGTTTTCATCTTATGGCTTTTAAAGTTGTTAATTGGCATCAACTGAAACTGATTATCATGGCTCTATCAATATTTATATCGATAATATTACATCAATAGATAATTGGAAAATCTTCAAAGATTTTGACTCCGACTCGGCTCAGCTTTCAAAATGTGCTTATAATGCTGGGTAAAGTTTTATTTGGTGCAAAGTTTTGAAATTTGATGCATTCGATGGATAATTATTTTTAATGGTTTAACGATTATCTGGAAACTTGAAAAATGAAACCAGATTTTTCGCTGGTTCAATTCAAGTTTCAACTTGTAAACACAGCTGATAACTTGTGCTAAAAGTCAATGCTATTTGTTTTAATTGATACGGAATTTGCAATTTACTGTTTACAAAATGATAAATAAAGTGATGCCATTTTCCCGAAGCGATGTGTTAAATCAGTGTTAAACGTTGTTCAACTTTAATGTAATTTAAGTCTTTTGTGGTGAATTGAGACATCAAATGGGGATAAGTGTACAATCACATGCATATGGACAGTTAATTTCATTTCGATATGGTTTTGCTTATCACATGAATCTATTCAATTCACTGGTCCAATAATGCTTCATCTTTCCCCTCACCTAAAATTGCGCCTAAAAGGAAGTCTAAAGTTGTTAAGTTTATTTCATTGAAAACCATAAGTTTATTTTCATTATCAATAGAAAGCCAAAAATGTTGAAAAGCAAAAAGTTGTAGGTTACTTAATGAATCACTAACAACACGCAACAATCGATATTGATCAATTTTCAATTCGAAATCTTTTCAACAAGAATTGCCTTCAAGATTCTAAAGATTTGTGCATGGGATTCGGTTTAGAGTTTGAAACTTTTTCATAATTAAACTATTAAAATTTTACTTTTAATCCAAATAAAGTTGAAACAAATGGATATTAAAGCAAAATTGATTTAAAAGTTTCCGAACCACTTCATGTTGTGTTTCGGTTCGTTCTGATCTTTTACTTAAGTGGTCGATTTGGTTAGGAAATTTTACGAACAATCAGACCTATTGCAATGAGCTGGTTGAACAAAGAAACAACCAAAACAAATACGTTGCCTACAAAAAGCTTCATAACGCATGCTATTTCCAAATTCCCAAGGGCAATTTCATGATAATCATTTTCAGTGGTTAAAATTTGAACAAAAACATTTGCATGTCCTGAAATTTTTGAATTTTTCTCCTATTTCTATCAATTTATCACAGAGTTTCCTAAATTAAATCGTACTTCTTAGGTACCTTTCCTTGTAAGGACAAACTGCTAGAAATTAAAAATTACCAAAAAATGAAGCATCAATGTTGAAGTATTGCCTGTAACTGAACAGCCTAGCCAAAGATAAACTCAACGAAACAGAATAATATGATTCGTTTGGTGCATCACTGAATGTTGTTTCAATTTGTGTGGTCGGATTGGAAGTTTTTGTTGATCGAAAGCTCATTTTGACACATTTTGATGTTGATCGGTGATTGGAAAGACAAAACTCAATGAAATTGTGGATCTTGAATTGAATTGAAAAAGGCCAAATAATCAATGAAGACACACTGACATGATGATGAACGAAGAAAAAGTTTTCATTCAATATCCTTTCGAATTGTGTTCATCACGCAATTTACAACAAATTTCTTTTGATTATATTTATAGATCAATTTTTCGAGACTTCGATTTTTACCTTTGCTATTCTCGACCGGTTAATGAGTTGAAAATTTCATGTTGTAAAAAAAGTGGCACAAAAATTTGATACTAGCATTAATAAAACAGACAATTATTGAGAGAAGAAAGAAAAGGAGGGAAGAAAGAGAGAAAAAGAGAGAGAAAAAGGAAGAGATGATGAAAAGAGAAAGAAACTCATCATCATTTGTTTCGCTTCAAGTACAATATTATTTGCCATTCCCATTGATGAACCTTATTATAACAACATTCACATTGTTAACCTTTTTCTTGATTCAGTCTCTTGTGTTTATTATTGTTTCCAGTGTTGTGTGTGAGTCTGTTTTTGCATTTGTGGTTGTGTGTGAAAATAGTGGTCACAAGGAAATGGTTCAATTGATTTGTCAATTTACATTTCAACTGCATCATGGTATTATAATTTCTCTGTCCTTTTCTGTTTCCATTCAGTTTCCATTGAGTTTCCATTGAGTTTGCAAAAATGTTTCAATTTTCTGCTTTTCCCTGAACAGAAGAGGCAAAGAAAGATATGAGTGAATGAGACTCAGAAAGAGAGAGAGAGAGAGAAAGAGAAAAAGAGAAAAGGTAACTTGAGAGTGAAAATGATTAATTTTCCTGCAAACTTGCTGCAAGTGAGAAAAAAGTAATAAAAGTTTTACTCGGATGTTGAAAGAGAAGGAGAAGAACATTTTTGAACTAGAAATTGCAAGATGAAGAAGATGAGATTTTGAAGAGAGAGAGAGAGAGAAAAGGCAGTAATGAAGAAGAGAGAGAAGATGAGAAAGTGTAAGATTCAGGTTAAATGTGCAAAGTACAATTATGAGAGAAACAAGAATGAGCTTAAATTGCAATGGAAACAACAACATTGAAACGTTTTAATCAATTGAACCAAGTTGAGTGTAGATTGGAAAAAAAAGATGCAATTAAAGCTGCACTTCTCTATGATAACCAACAGTTGACTTGCAATAATAATAGCTTCATTTTCACTGAAATAGTATACGACAATTGACAGAAAACAAGTAAATGAGTTGAAAAAAAGAGAGGGAAAAGTAAAGAGCTTTGGTTATACGCACTGTAGACTCAACTCATTTCATGTAAATACTGTGCTCATGTAACCTTGGAGTCAGTTTACGTAAAATCATAAGATGCTTCATCCTCTTTCCATTCTTGTTTCGTTTTTTCTTTCGACTTTCGTTGTGAGTTTATTTTCTCATTCCTTTTTCCCTGTCATATTTTGGCTGCTGTTTGCTGATGGTTTAATGTTGTTGCTCCGTCTGTTGCTTTACAAGGCTCTTGCTCTTGTCCTGATAACCTGGTCTTTACTCATTGAAAGCTGATTAAAGATAAAATGGTTCAAAGACAATTCAGGCAAACGCTTTCGTTAACCTTTATCATTACCATGATTAGCATTTGTCTTCCTCCTCTTCATCTTTATTCGTGTGTTGCAATTGTAATGCAATTGGATAAATACAAAATGTAGCAATGAATGAGAAATGATGAAAACTATGATGATTGAGTTTGCAGAAAAAATTATGAATAAGAACGATGACGAAGATGAAGGGAAAGAAAATGCAAGATGAAAAGAAGACATAAACAGAAGAAAAATGTTTATTTCATTGAGTCGCATGTTGCTCAAGGCGGGATTGTTGCCTTTGGGTTGATGATGATGGTAAAGAAGAAGAAAGAAAGAAAGAAAAGAAGAAAAGCAAGAAATATTGAGATTGACCCTTCATTGAAAAGCCAATTGTGAGACGGAAAAAATATGAAAACAATTAGACGATAACTTGACTTCCCTGATAATGTCGCGATTACTTTCAACATCGACTTTGGATTTTTGACTTTTTTTGCCTGAAACATTGCATTTTCAAAAATTAAATGTTTACAATTTTCATTTCTCTTCTCTTTAAACTTTTTTTTTGTTTCTTTCTCTTCTTTTTACCTCTTTTTTCACTTCTCTTTTTCTTTCTTTTTCTTCCCTTAGGTTTCATGCTGTTGTTCATCTTCTCTGTCTTCACGGCTCTTTCGACCTTTCCTTACTTTCTGGTTGGCTTATTCCTTGTCACATGTTACATGAACGAGGCTGCGTGATGTAACCTTGTCTTCCAGTCTTCCTTGATATAGAGGAAAGAGAAGAAGAAAGAGGAAAAAAGAAAACAAAGTGGGTGGAGCGAGAAGAGATATGATGATAATGTGTTTGCAGCAAAATGTTGAGTATGAGTTGAAAGAGAGGCGAACAAAAAGTGAAAGAAGCAGAAGAAGAAAAAAAATAGTAAAGAAAAAGGAAAGACTCGGAGAGAAGAGAGAGAGAGAGAGATGAGAGTGAGAGTGAGAGCTACATAAGGGAAGAGTTTTTGGGGAGAAGAGTGAGTGGAAGAGGAGAGAGAGAGAGAGAAGACAAGGGAGAGGGAAAGATCGAGAGAGAGAGAGAGAGATACAGCTTAGCTCAAAATTATTTCTTTGCCATCCAATTGAAGTATAAAATTAATGAGTATTGCCATGAGTTCGTTTGTGATGAACCCAGCGGCATATACGGCTGCTGCAGCCGCGGAGGATGCTGCGAGTGGCGGCTATTCAAGTTACTATGATGTTACGGGAAGTTCATCTGGACTTGGTGGTGGTGGTGGTGGAGGTGGAAGTGTAAGTGTAAGTTCCAACAGTTCAAATGTCAACACTTTTGGATTCAATCATCATTCCTCTTCCCATCATTCATTCAATCATCACCAAAGTACACCGATTCCCGGTTATCATACTCATGTCAACGATTCCCTTTCCAACTATGGATCACCTCACCATCCGCACCATCTCAACCATTCTCAACATTCCCTGCAAAATCATCTTCAATCGCACCATCAACACTTGACTCACCATTCACCTGGACACCATTCATCGCCCCTTCACCCTCACCATCCTCATCAACAATATTATGGAACCCAAAGTGTTCCCGGTGCTGGTCCCATGGGATCACTTGGTCAAAATGTTTCACTTGGTTCAACCGATTCTTCCCTTGAACCTTCACCAGGAATTTTAACTCATCCTCATCACCTTTTAGCTACTTCATCTGGTCTCCTATCACACCATCATCATCCCAATGTTTCATCACCTTCGCCCTCACCTAGTCATCAACAGCAGCAACAACAACAATCATCTTCATCTCTTCATCAAACTGGATCAAATCATCAACAATTAGATGTTAAATCTAATCTATTAGACATTCAATCAATGAGTGATCCTCCCTCTCCACCGGACTGTGCAATCTCAGGGAACAGCGGAAGTAATTCAGGTGCTTCAGGTACTGGTCAACCCGTCATCTATCCTTGGATGAAAAAAGCTCATGTAAACCAAAGTAAGTAACGGAATTCAACTCAATTCTCATAAAATTTTCAATTAACCAATGATTCTCCAACTCTTGTCAATTGAAATTACTTGAAACTCAACTCTTTTCACTCTAAAATTATCCTTCAGTCGAGGTTAAACAGCTCGAATAATAGCGATAAAAAAAGTAATAACTTTTAAAACTCGAAAGTTAGCAAGCTTGATAAACAAAAGACGACAAAAGATATTGATAGTTATAGTTTTTAAATGGACTCTTGAACATTGGTTATGTTTCATGTTGCCACTTATCGTTACTGTAAAACATCTGGAATGACATTTTATTTTTGATATCGTTTCAGGCAGTGAAAGTAGTAATGTATTTCGCACAGTTCAAAATGGAAACAACTTTACCGGAATGGAACCCAAAAGACAGCGAACAGCTTATACTCGTCATCAGATCTTAGAACTGGAAAAAGAGTTCCATTATAATCGTTATTTAACTCGTCGTCGTCGCATTGAAATTGCTCATTCCTTGCTTCTCAGTGAAAGACAGATAAAAATATGGTTCCAGAATAGGCGAATGAAGTGGAAAAAGGACAATAAACTGCCCAACACTAAAAATGTAAAGAAAAAAAATCAAGCCAACAACAACAATAATAATAACACAACCAACAACTCAACCAGCAACAGCAATAATAACAATAATAATAATAATACATCATCCAACAATACTTCATCATCAAATGCCAACAATAATCATGGAAACAATGTACCAGGATCTCATGACCTAAATAGTTCAATATCTTCAATGACCATTAGCGGTACCAATGGACCTGTACTACCAACCGTTGAACCTAAAACTGAAGCAGCAGCATATGGATTAACCGAATTGTAAAACTAAATCACAAATAAAAAACTCAAAACTCGTAAACCCGAACATGAGTTATGTTATCATTATACTTTCCTCTCTCACTATTTCACTCCTTTTTTCTCTCTCTCATTATTTCTCTCTTTTCTCTCTCTCCCTCTTAATCTCTCTCTCTTTCTCACTCACTCTCATTGTGAATAAATATGAGTTTTGAAACATAACTTTTATAGTGAAAACTAAAAATTTTGGACTCTTTTCCTCGTCTCGGACAACACTTTATTCAAATGATATTTCCATGTATCGAGTGACTTCCCAATGGTCAAGTGTTGAACAAAAGGGCTGAACAAATCGAAAATTTATTTTTCTTTTTTTCTGGTTGTTATCCAAAGTTTGACTAAACATTGATCAAGTTTGATCAGTTGGAACAGTTGATTGAAAATTCATCAAACTCCAAGTTTTTTTGGTGATTATTTCATTCTTGTTGCCATCATTTTGAAAAGCGTCTCCTTCCTGTGCTCAATAAAGATGTAACGTATCGGCTCATTATTTTGAAGCAATTTGAAGGAATCGTCCAAAAAATCGAAAAGATCCATCTTTATTAAGCACAGGTTAGTTTGATCAATTATTTAATCCTTTTTATTTATTTCTTACCATTCATCATCAATGTTTAATCAAACTTTATGTTCATCGTGATCTGTTCAATTTTCGGGTTACTTTGTTCAGATTCTTGGATAATTACAAAATGAAAAGCTTTAAAGATTTTTCATCGCCAATCAAACAAGCATTAGTTTTTCTTTTTAATTTCAATCGAAAATTGAAAAGGCCTGAGCTAAATTTCAAAAATGACAGGAAAATGAAAGCAAGTTTGTCTAAAATGAAATCATTTCTGTTCAATTGAAAAGTCAAAATGAAATAAATCACTCGATATCAATTGAAACATTATCCAATTACAACTGACTCACTGAATCGCTGTATGGTCAATTTTTTTCAGTATTTATCAAATATTTCAAGTCATTGGTCAAGCAAATTGGAAAGAAAAATTTTTTTCTCAAAGATTCGTCTTTTAGAATACAAATCAGCAAATTCACAAAATCTGAGCGAATGAGAAATGCTTTTAGATTTGTAGTTATTCCACAATCAGGAGATAGACTTTTGTAGGTTCATGTTCATGTAATTCATGTTTAATTTGCTTGTGATTCGCAGCAACAATACAAAGTATGAACTGAGTTTAGGTATTTGAGTTGATCAAAATAGGATAAATGAATAAGTTGAAATCATTAGCTTTTCATTCGTTTAAATTGTAATCTACATCAATGGATGCCGATTGGGTGAAGTCAATTACTCAAAGGTCGATGAGTCTCTTGAGGCTTGTAAATCAGTTACAATAGCATTGACAAGTAAAGAAAAGACAAAAGGAAAGAAAGGAAACTTCAAGTGATGACAAACTTTGTTTCATTAACCATGGATAATGATAATCTGTTGGTTAATCCGATTATCATTTCATGCATTTACAAGAGCTCAGTCCAATGCGAAAGGCTGCAAAGTCAAAAAAGAGCAGCAAAAGAGGAGGCAAAACAAAAGGTATTACTTGTCAAGTTGAAGAGACAAGAATACAGAATCTCTCAGTAACCTGAATTCCAATTAAGATCTGACTATTTTTCGTAATTTTAGTTCAATCATGGCTTTCATTTAAAAATTTTCTTTAAAACTTTAGTTTGGTATTAACAATCTTCCCGCAAAATTTTCATGTTTTGACTCTATATATTGTATGTATTGATGTATAGATTAGCTATCGCTGTATCTAACTGGACTTTTTTAAGAAAATTATAACTAGAAAACTTCAATGATTGATTGCAATAACTAAAGTATTAAATTGACCGATACAAAAGTGAAGTGAGTTTTATTTTGATGATCACACAGAGATAAATATTGGTGGCTAGCATCTTACAACATTTCATTCATTTCTCGCAATTAACAAAAATTGATTATCCGGAAAATGGGAAAATGAAAAATCGTCAAAAGGGAGCCTTATGAATAAACTGTGTTTTTGATTAAAACAATGTTTTTCAATGGGCGCTATTAATTTTTCGCATTTTTCAATTAAATTTAAATATCTCAGTAATTAATTTAGATAACCAATTTTTGTTGAAATCATTCGCTTTTGATAGACCCATCTTTCAATAAAACCAACATTAAAAGGCTGAAACCGGGCAACTGTAAAGATACAGAGTTTTCATGACAACAGCCAACCTGCAAATGACCAAAACTCACTTTCATAAGACAAAAACTCTCGAGTTAAAGAAGTATCTTTATTATTTCATTAACTGTTAATTACTTTATTTCTGAGGCAACGTAAATATAAGTGAACATTTTGATAAATGGTGATTTATTAGTTGTGATTTGGCATCTGCAGTGGAGGTTAATGGTAAAAATTAGTGATAATCCTCTTTACACACTATGAATAGAGCAACTCTTTAACTCGAGTTTTGGTCATTTAATGCGATTTTGTTATAAAAACTCTGTGCCTTTACAGTTAGCCGTTTTTACCCTTTTGAATGCTGGTTTTTTTCATTTAAAAGTTGATTCTATTCAAACGAGAATGATAGTAGTTGCAAAAAATGCATGATTGAAGGATGCGTAGCACCAATATTCATCTCTGTACGATAATAACAGAAAAATCAGTAAAATAAAACTCGCTTTCCTTTTTGTATACGACCAGCCTAATAGATCATGGGCTATCAGATTGAAATCAAATTACATGTGTTCGCACTGCAATAAATCGTAAATTGTAACCAAAAAGATTTGACTGTCATGACTGAAATGACACAAAACAGAGCCTCACATTTATGCAGATTGTTTGAAACAATGAAGGAATCAACTCAACTGCGCTGAATAGAGTTAAATCTTTAGATTGAGACGATTAAAGTGATTAAATGATAGCTCGATTTGCTTGCTACCTTATTCATGTTTCCACTGAATCCTTGAAAAATGTCCCAAATTTATTACTAATGACTTGAAGATAGATTTTATTTTTTCATTATTTTCCATTTTCGTTTCGATTTATATTGCCGTTTATCATTGAATTTTCAAAGAGTTTTCAAATTTATAAGTAGATTTGTGTCAACCATCCAAGAGAACTAGTGATGTTCGATACAAGAATTTTTTATATCGAAAAGCTGTTTGTATTGAAATTTTATTTACAACTGTTAATTAATCGGTTGAAATGTTTTATGAGAGAGTCGCTTAGTTGCATGTTCGCAGTCTCAATTTAATTTCAGATGTAATAGACGAGAAGGAGCGTGGATCAATTTATTCGATATACTAACAGATCATTACGATAAGTAATGATTTAACAGTTTTTGCATGAAAGTTCATCTCGGCCTCAGCTGATGCGTTAACTCAATACTAAAGTGATGCATCGTTATTTTTCAGAATTTCATTATCCAATGTTTTTCGTCTTTTTTTTGTAATCTACATCAATGGATGCCGATTGGGTGAGTCAATTACTCAAAGCTCGATGAGTCTCTTGTAGCTTGTAAATCAGTTACAATAGCATTGACAAGTAAAGAAAAGACAAAAGGAAAGAAAGGAAACTTCAAGTGATGACAAACTTTGTTTCATTAACCATGGATAATGATAATCTGTTGGTTAATCCGATTATCGTTTCATGCATTTACAAGAGCTCAGTCCAATGCGAAAGGCTGCAAAGTCAAAAAGAGCAGCAAAAGAGGAGGCAAAACAAAAGGTATTACTTGTCAAGTTGAAGAGCGATGTACAGCATTTTGAGCCAATCATCAAAGCTCCACTAAGGAAGCAAACTCTGCATTCATCTCTGTATCCAATGGTTATCGAAGTATTGAGTCAACATACAAAAAACGAACCGTAAGATAATTACGAGGTTTACTGTCATCATGTGTGTCTTGCCCTGCTTTTTGCTTGAAAAGGAGGCTGAAAAAGTTTATCTCATATTTTGTTTCAGAAATTCATTTGAATAATCCCAAAATTTTGTAACAACTTGAGTCAACAAAGTTTTTTCATTTTCTTGAGCTGCTAACAAAAAAAATGTTAAAATAAAATATGATTTTCCATTTTTTCACCATCTTTTCAACATTTTTATCAACATTTTTGCTCGCTTTATTTTATACCTTTTCTTCCCTTTTTTGCACGGTTTAACTCAGCCAAAGATGAAATGGCAAACTCGAGCTAACATAATCTTCATATCAACACTGTTCACTTCCTGATGTCATTTTTCACCTTAGCATAACAAGTGAGCCTCGACCAATATCATTATTACTATTACTATTACTATTATTATTGAAAAAGTAGTTCATCTATCAAGTTATAAGATAATACTTTAAGAATACAAAATAGGGAAGAAGAAGAATCTCTAAGAGAATAACAAGGGTGAAGATGAAAATGGATGACAGGAGAAAAGATGAAAAGAAGATGAGAAAAAGTAAATATATTGCTTTGGTCATCATTATTCAAGCAGCTTTTATCCATTTTAAATCCCAATTTAGGGTCATCAGAATATTGAAAGTTTATGCAAATAAAAGTGTTCAGATAAGAAAAGGTAGAAAGAAATGAGATAATTTTCAGTAACAAGTTAATAATGAAATGGCCCAAAACTAAACTCAAAAAGCTATTAAGAGTAGGCTTCAAAATTTAAATTTCAGTTGAAAGCCATTTTTGGGTGAAAAATGGGCAAACATTTTCTTTTAATTATCTTAATTCAATGAAAATTGATCAACATTTTTCCTCAACACTGACTTTGCGAACAATAGATAACTAGATATTGGCCTATTTCATGTCGATTGTTGACAGAATTTCATTCATGACGATTCATGATCTGTGAGTTTTCATCTTTTCTGTTGATTTTTCATCTCTAATATTCTAAAATTATCTTTAAAGTGAAAATCTTCAGCCTGATGAAATTTGAAATTTCTGTTATTTTCGATTATACTTTCGATGAATGAAGTTCGATAATCAAGGCAATTAAAAGTTATTGTAGTCTTTAAAGTTATTTTAAATCAATTGTGCTTTGAAATTCATGGACAATTTTCATACCAAAAGGTCAAAGACTTGTGTTAATTCAAAAGAAACATTCAGATCGCTAGTAAAGTTGATGAAACTGGGAGACTTGATTTATCAACGATTTTTCATTAACGTTAATGGTTGTGCTACAAATATAGTTAATTATATCAAGATATACAAGAGTCACAAATAGATTGGCCTA